AACCTGTCTACACAAAGACTTGTAGATAAATGTTCATAACAGCATTATTTGTAATAGTTAAAAAGTATAAACAACTCAAATGTCCAATGACTGATGAGTGGATAGCTATAATGTGGTATGTCCATACAGTGAAGAAAGGAATGAACCACAATACGTGCTACAACCTGATGAACATTGAAAACGTTATGCTAAGTGAAAGAAGCCAATTACAAAAGACCACATGTTGTATGATCCCATTTATATGAAACATCTAGACTAGGCAGTCTGTAGATAGCAACAGAAAGTAAATTAGTGGTTTCTTAGGCTGGGGGGAGGATGGAGAGGGACTGCTAACTGGTATGTGGTTTCTTTTTGGGGTGGTAAAATGTTCTAAACTTAGAAGTGGTGGTGGTGGCACAACTCGATATACTAAAAAGCACTGAATAGTACACTTTAAATGGGTGGATTTTATGGTATGTGAATTAGATCTCAGTACAGCTGTCATTAAAAGAATCAGGTGCATAGAAGTGTATGATTGTAGGACAAGTTGTGAATGTGAGTGCTGGTGTGCAGTAGCAGGGCTTCTCAAACTTTTAAAGGGCATATGGATTACCTGTCTATCTTATTTAGTGTAAATTCTGATTCAGGAGGTCTGGGGTAGAATCTGAGATTCTCTGTTTCTTAATAAGCTCTCAGGGTGCTGATGCTACTGGGCTCTGGCCCATGCTTAGGAAGGCAGTAAAGGATGTTTGTTTCTTCAGTGAATGGGGTCAGTCTGAAGAGCCTTCGAGCCAGGAGGATTTGGCCAGCATTTTGTAGGAAGGCATAATGTAGTTTGGTGGAAGAGAGGGGCTTAATGGACAAAGTAACCAGTCTGTGTAAAAACTCAGACCACAGAGTATCCAATATTTGTGGGGTACAAGAGGCCTGTTGGGTTACGGGGGTGGGTCCCTGAATCTTGCACCTGAGCATTTTCTGTTTTTATGAAATTTTCTCTTGCTCTCTGCTTGACATTTTTGATTTAACTTCTTTCAAATCTGGACTTAGGTAGATTGATACTACTAAGGGCTTTGTGAGCTTCTAGGAGGGGAGGGATTGGTTGGCAAGAAAACATTCTATGTGTGGGTCTTGGGAGTTGGATGTGAACCCATCAGTCAGTGACCATGCCTGGAGAGCCTCCTCAATTAGCTACCTGAGCTCTGGACAGGGCACAATCAGACTGACTTACTGCTTGGACCCAGATGAATAAACTCATTAATGAGGGAGCAAATAAAGATGTATTTCCAGATGGTACGGGTTAATTATAGCTATGGTTTACAGCTTTCCTTGTTTTTCCACTTGTGCTAGAAGACCAATATGGATGTAGTTTAAAGAATCGTTTGGTTCAGGAGGCAACTACTAAAGCCAAATCATGTCTCTACTCTTTGCATTCATAGTACTCCATGAAGTGCTGAACAGTCCTCTAAGCCCAGGTCTAGTCTCAGCCTTAGTGCTTGCCCTTCTGAGGTATTTTCCCTGAGACTCTGGAAGCAGTAGTGTCCTGTGCTTCATCAACATTCGGTTCCACAGCCTCTCCTGATACTTTATAAAGTGCTTCCACTCTCCCAGGAGGAAAGGCAAGGAAATCACTTGGTCACCTTGAATGTTCTTACCCTCACAGCCCCACAATGAAGTCAGAAGTCTTATTCTCTATTTTCTAGACGGAGAGCCTAAGGTATAGGTAGTAACATGCTTGACCACCATCATGGAGAGACACCCCATGGCTGGCCCAGTTCTTTGGATCTTCCTTAGTTTACCCTTCAGTGGAGTCGTCTTGCTTCTTTGAAGATGTAGTTGTGTTGTTTCTTTTTGTTTTGACAAACATGATTTTCTGAGTGCCTCCTGGTATCAAATGAATACTTCTTTCCCGGATACCTACTAAGTATTTTTCATGTGTTTATTTACACTCCCATTTAAGCATCTCCAGGTGGGGTGCTGGTTTGTCAGCATACTTATTATCGTATTGGAGAGAATTCTGTTCAATTCCCCTAGTACTCACTGAGTGCTTAGTATATGCTCAGCTCTGTTCTTTTCTCCTTGAAAGACACAAAGCAGTGTATTCTCCTTGGCTCTGTGGGATCTTCCAGGTTTATGGGATGGAAGCAAGGTAGACATAAGCAGGCCAGGACTAGGGTGAAGCAAACAAGGCACTCACTTTCAAGGTCATGCGCATGGAGGGTCAGTACCTGACAATGAGTGCCTCCTTAAATTTTGAGCCCTAGGTCCCTTGGCTTACCCCCACCTTCCTTAGTCCTGGTTCTGGCCTTAAGAAGCAGTTACATCGGGGCACCTGAGTGGCTCACTCAGTCAAGCGTCTGCTTTAGGCTTAGGTCATGATCCCAGGGTCCTGGGATTGAGCCCTGCATCCGGCCTCCTGCTCAGCGGGGAGCTTGCTTCTTCCTTTCCCTCTGCCTGCCCCTCTCACTGCTTATACACACTCTCTCTCTCTGTCAAATAAATAAATAAAATCTTTTAAAAAAAGCAGTTACATCACTTGGAAATCACATTTAAGATAAGACTATGAATGACTGGTATGGAACAGTGCTTCATAGATTTAATATGCATATGAATCATCTGGAGACCTTATTAAAAGTAGGATTCTGATTCAGTGGGTCTGGAGTGATGCCTGAGATTCTGCATTTCTAACAAGCACCCAGACAATGCTGATACTAGTCTGTGCCACCCTTTGAGTAAGGAGAAAAATCCGTGCTTGAGAAAAGCAGAGGGCCAAATTCACTAAGCTAGGGAATCAGGGCAGGCTTCTTGAGGGAAGGTGAAATTGCAGCTGGGCTCTCAAAGGACAAGTTGGATTTGGATGGGATAAAAGAGAGGGAAACATTGCAAGCAGAAGGAAGAATATGCAAAGGCCCAGAGATAGGAATGAGTCCCATATGTTTTGAGACAGTGAACAGACTGGCTTGGCAAGACACAGGTCCAAGTTGGAAAAAGGAAGAGTTTTGATAGGTAGCATGAAACCTGTATTGGACTGTTTATTTAGAAGTGTGGTCCGGGGCGCCTGGGTAGCTCAGTCGGTTAAGAGTCTGCTTTTGGCTCAGGTCATGATCTCAGGGTTCTGGGATCAAGCCCCACATCGGGGCGCCGTGCTCAGTGGGGAGTCTGCTTGTCTCCCTCTCTCTTTGCCTCTCCCCCGCTTGCATGCTCTTTCTTTCTCTCTCTCTCTCAAATAAATCTTTAAAAAAAAGAAATGTGGTCCTTAATTTTCTGCTCAGGTACCACCCAAATGGGCATTTCCATTTCTTATATCTACTTGTCCTGGGATATTATGGGACCTCTGTTATTCTAGGGAAATGAAGACCTGACACCTGAATACATTCTGTGAGGCATTGTGTGAAGTAGGAAAAGGGAGGAGGTGGTTGACTTCATTACCCTGGCAAAGCCTTGAGTTTTGTTTTTTTTTTAAACTTAGCTGGGACATGTACAAATCAGAAAGCCCTCCCTAAATAGTGATGGGATTACACAGTACACACACATAAAGGATGCCTGGTAAATACGTGCTGATTTGACTCAGTAGGAGAGTTCTGCCCATTTTACTTCAAACATTCTTTGTAAAGTACTTTTCTGAAGTTATCATAGGAACAGTGAGAAATTGGGCCTTGAACCTCATAAGTACTAAAGGAATATTTGTTGACTGAGTCCTTTGAGGCCTTGTCTCTCTCCTCTGTATCAAGAAAACGTTTTCAGCTCAGGTCAGTGTAAGAATGTATGAATGTAATGTTTTTGACTTATGTACTGACACTTGGTTATGCTTTTGTATGGCTGTAAGGAAGTAGAAGACTTGAGTCATGAACTCAAAGAGTTTAGTATTATTCTTGAGCAGTGGTTTTCAGCTGGAGGCAATTTTCATCCCACGGGGGACATTTTACAATGTCTGTAAACATTGTTGCTTCTGTGCCATCTAGTGGCTAGAGGCCAGGGATGCTGCTAAAACATCCTACAATGTACGGAATGCTCCCCACCTCACCAAAGAATTATCCAGTCCCAAAATATCCATAGTGCCAAGGTTGAGAAACCCTGCTCTAAAGGACAAGAACTAACAAATAGAACCAGAACTTTGAAGTTGGAAGGTCATACTGCTAGTTAATAGTAGAGCAGGGACTAAAGCTTAATTCTCCCTAGTCTAATGTGCTGCCTGCTGCCATGGGGCCAGTTAGAGTCAGATGGCATATGACAGAATATTTTATCTAGCTTCATCTCCCACTAATCCTAATTCATACTTTTTGCCCTAGCCATACTCATTTATTTGTATGCTACGCAACTTTATTCCTTCATCTTCATGTTAGTTAGTCCCTTTGCCTGGAACGTATTTCTCCCATTTCTTCATCTGGATGATATTTCACGTCTTCTCCAGGTCTTTGCCAGTCTATAACACTGCAAATTGGATCAGAAGCCATTTCTTTATTCTTCCATAGCTAGTCCTCAGCATATAGTCAAGAAATTTTCTGTATATATGTGTGACTTCTTGACTAGGCTGTGAGCATCTTAGGAGTTAGGTTTACTCTCCTGTCCTCATTGCCTAGCATAGACATGCAATATACTGTCAGTCATAGACATGAGATAAAGTAAGTGGTTAGAGGGCGCCTGGGTGGCTCAGTCGTTAAGCGTCTGCCTTCGGCTCAGGTCATGATCCCGGGATCCCGGGATCGAGTCCCACATCGGGCTCCCTGCTCGGCGGGAAGCCTGCTTCTCCCTCTCCCACTCGCCCTGCTTGTGTTCCCTCTCTCGCTGTGCCTCTCTCTGTCAAATAAATTAAAAAAAAAAAAAAATCTTAAAAAAAAAAAAGTAAGTGGTTAGAGAAGGGAGAGATCAGTGGGAAGTAGAGTATTGGGGAAGGCTTCATAAAGATTGTGACACTTGAAGCTTCTCATAATTCCTTGAAGATAATGATGAATGTATGAGTACCTTATTTGGGCAGGCACAGTTCTAAGACAGTAATGGATTTTTTTGGTGTTGTTTTTCTACAGGTTGATATGTCAGACCTCTCCCCAGAGGAGCAGTGGAGGTAAGTGTGACAGTGTGGGCCCCTCAGGCTGGGAACTGTAAATTAATCCTACTAATAGAGTTGTATATCTACCCTTTTGCTTCCTTGTCTGTGGTGAAGCCATTACTCTTGACTAGTAGGAGAGGTCATTTGTGATCTTCTCCAGTACTTGGGTTACTTCTGAGTAGCTCCTTCAGTCCTGGGGAGTAAATAGGTAATTGCACCAAACTATTTATCTGGGTTTAAATACTACTAGTTCTGCCATTTCCTAGCTATGCTATCTTGGGCAAGTTACTTGATTTCTTACTACCTTAGTTTCCTCAGTTTGCACAATGAAGGTTGCAACAGTACCTACACCTCATAGAGTTGTTGTGAGGACTATTAATATATGTGAAATTCTTAGAACAATGCCTGGCATGTGGTAAGCTTCCAGTAAGTGTTACCTGCTTTGCAGGTGACTATCATCATTAACATCATCATTATCCATGAAACAGCAGAGAGATCTGGCTGAAAAATGGGAATAGTGTCTTCTGATCTCAACTCTGCCACTAACTTGCTTTGTAACCGGAGTGAGTCAACAGTCAACAAATACCTTATTACATGATTACTCATCAAAGAGCCTTCAGAGTGTTTGCCCCACAAGGTAGCTGACCAGTGAGCTGGAATCAACTATGTAAATTTGATTAATAGTACAAAAAAACCCTTTCATTTAGATTATTAAAATAGAGAACGACAAAGATACCAACTTACATGACAAACCCAGCAAGATTTTAGAAAGCTTTAAACTTAATATGCACCAGTTGTGTACCTCAGCTACCAAAACATTCCAAAATTTGGAAGATGTTCATAGAAATATACTGTCTGCTTTAGGGAGATGAATTGCACCATGCTTCACTGAGTCCACGCTAATTTTGTTGTAAACACTGCATATTAAGAAGATCTTCAGTTAGATAACATCTAGAAGAAGGCAACCAGGATTAATGGTTTTCACATTATGTAATATGAATAGCATTTAAAAGAGCTAGAACTGTTAGCGTAAAAGGGCATAGAAAAGTGGTGGTAGGAAGAGGATTGTTTTGGTTTTGGTTTTTTAAATAAGATCATATAAATCTTTGAAAGAGCAGCATTGGGAAAGAAGAATGATTATGTCCTTTGTTGTTCCAGAGTATAAAATTAGGTCCAATGGATTGAAGCTGTAGAAAGATGGATTTTGTCTCATCAGACATTTTTAATAATCGTGGTATATTGAGAGGTAGTGAGCTCCTGCCCTTAAAGTATTGGAGTTTTATTCCTTTATTAGCACATGTGAGTACCTACAATGTGCCAGATAGATGGTCCTCGAATTACTTTAAGAGGCATATGTTCTCAGCCAGTGGAAGTATTCAAACAAAGATTGTAAAGATAATGTTTGCATTGGGTGGGAACCTGAACCAGAGTTGTTGTTCTCTGGTCTTTTCTCCATATTTGGTATTTTTGTTGTGTACATCCATTTAGTCATATACTGTCTGAGAATAAGAAATTTATCTGTTATCTTTATAACTCCCCACAGTACTTAGGTTTTTAAAGTGTCCTTTGCCCTTTTAGTTTAGCTTATCCTCACAACAACCCTATGAGGGAAGCAGCAAAGATATGGACTCCTTGGATAGATGAAGAAATTGTGATGTAGAGATGTGAATTTTCTTGGCCAAGTCCACATGGATGTCTGAACCTAAGTTTCTGACTCCCACCCATATTATTTTTTTGTCAGAATCTCCCACCCTGAATGAGTTGATGTAAGATGAACCCTGAGGTGCTGTGGCTGGCTGCTGACATTTAGCTGCCCACTGCCCCTACCATATTTCCTCCCTAACATTTTATTGTGAAAAATCTCAGAAAAGTTGAAAGATGATACAATAAACACCTTTAGGCCCACCACCTAGATTCTACAGTTAACTTTTCACTGTATTTGCTTTATCGTTTGTCTGTCTGTAATTCATCCCATTGGGTTCTTCTTGAATAGTCTGTCATTGCCCTTGGGAACTCTATGAAGATACCATTTATGTTGTCCTTTCCCTCTCTCCCTAATAGCCTCAGGTATGGAGAATTGGCATAAAAGCTCCTGACTACAGGCTGTATTTGTATTTATTTTTCTAACTCCTTCCTCATTTCTCTGTTGGCTGACTCTGACTCTATTCTTAAATGAAGGTGTTGGCCAAGAGAATCACTTGTTGCCAGTCCTCTGGACCAGAGAATGCCAGCCTTAGATTAAGTAAGAGTTTCCAGTTGCACTCATCCTTAAGCCCTTGAGGAGGCTATTTACCTGTGGATGCTGATGGTGAGGACACTGTTGGATTCGTACAAAGTTGAAGGAGTCCAGATTTTTCAGGCTTTAGCTAGTCTTAGACTAGGATCCCTGGTCCTGACAGAGAGGATAGGACAAATAAGACTTTAACCCTGGAATTAGTACACATCTGCAATAGTACTTCTTTATTGGTGTTATAAATATCATTGACTAAGAGTATGAGATTTTATGGCTATATCCTTCTCTCTGGGTTACTTTCTCCTTCCAGTGACAGGTTGAAATAGGACTGAAATGGGCAGTGACAACAGGCTTCTCCTGGGTCCTCTTGCCCACAGGAAAGGTGTCAGCTGCTTTTGCTCTTGGGGGTGGGCAGCAAACAACCCACCTTTATTTCCAATAGCTGAGCTTCTGACTGAGGCCCGTAGAGCCCCTGTTCTATCCCAAAATGCCCATTCTCTAGGGTGTGTGTTTTTCTAGCCCCTAATTTGTATAGTACCCTGGAGATGCAAAGCCCAAGAATGTGTTCTGAGCTATAGACTGGTGGAATATCCCTGGAAAGCACTGCCCTTTTACCAGCACACCTTCCCTGATCTGCCTCACCTCATTTGTTTGACTTTCAGGGTTGAGCACGCACGCATGCATGCCAAGCACCGTGGCCATGAAGCCATGCACGCTGAAATGGTCCTCATCCTCATCGCTACTTTGGTGGTGGCCCAGCTGCTCCTGGTGCAGTGGAAACAGAGGCACCCCCGCTCCTACAATGTAAGCCACTGCCTCTCACTTCTTTTTCTGACAGTTGTCAAAAGACCCTTCCTAAGTATTCTAGGGTCCAGCCTACCTCAGGCTGCATACAGGCAGGGAATAGACAATGATAGTAAACGTTATGTATGAATGGTGAATAGTGTATGGTGGGTATGCATTTAAGAGGCAAGTGATTCAGATGGTGAAAATAGGGATAGAACTTGAGACTACTTTCATGGCCAGGTCTTCCCTTTTAAACATTTTGGGACAGATCCATGAAGGAGATGCTCATCAGGAACTATTCAAGTAAAGGGAGAGGTGGTCGCCTTGTTGGGAAGACCAAGCCTCTTAAGTGAATTTTACAGGTAGGATTTAGATTAATTAAAAAAAAAAAAAAAGACAATGATAGAGGAAATGAGGAACAAAACATAAAACATACAGAAAACATATAGCTGAATGGCAGAAGTAAATCTTTCCTTATTGGTAATTACTTTAAATGGGTTAAATTCTTCTATTAAAAGGAGAGATTGGCAGATTGGTTAAAAAAACCAAACAAACCATGAGAGACTCACTTTAGATACAAAGACACAGAGAATAAAAGTAAAAGGATGGAGAAAGATATTCCATGTACATGATAATCAAAAGAGAGCTGGGGTGGCTATTAAATATCAGACCAATAGACTTTAAATCAAAAAAATTTACAAGAGACAAAGGATATTATATATTGATAAAAGGTTTAAACCAACAAGAAGATACTACAATTATAAACATAACTAACAAAGGAGCCCCAATATATGTGAAGCAAAAACTGACAGAATTGAAGAGGGATAGACAGTTCTACAATAGGTTGCAGAGTTCAGTACCTGACTTTCACTAACGAATAGAGCAACCAGATAGAATATCAGTAGTTAATAGAGGACTTGAACAGCATTATAAACCAGTTAGACCTAACAGACACACAGGGCACACACTACCCAACAACAGCAGAATACATTCTCTTCTCAAGTGCACATGGACCGTTCTCCAGGAGAGAACATGTGTTAGGCCACAAAACAAGTCTCAATAAGTTTGAGAAGATTAAAATCATAGATTCAACCACTCTGGATTAGGACATGACAGGTGCAGTGTACTGGATTTTTTTACGACTGTTATCATAGAAGTTTTTAACCTTTACAAGGGTAACGACCCTTTTTTAACATCAACTTGGCAAACACCTACGTGATAATACTTTGCATAGAATATACAAGTGCATATATAGTAGTAACAATAGCTAACATTTATTGAATTCTCACTATGCCAGCCACTGTTGTAAGTACTTCACAAGTGTGGACTCAGCTAATCCTTGTAATAATTCAGTAAGGTAATGTTTTCTCCAATTACAAGTGAGAACTGAGAGAAAAGACTAAGTAATTTGCTCCAGTGATAAAACCATTATTTGAACCCAGACAGTTTTACTCCAGGGTTTTTAATCTTAATCTCTGAATAGTTCTTTTTCTCTAGTATATGCTTTTTCAGACCTCTGGTGATATGGTCAGACATGCCCAGGGGTCTGTAGCCCACATGATGTGAACTGCTGCACTATCTCATTTAATCCTTCTAATAGCCCATGAGGTAAGTACCGTGAACAAACTGAGGCCCAGAGAGTTGAGGCATGAAGGGAATACTAATAGATAGAGCCAGGATTTGAACCCAAGTGTTCTGTTTCATATTTCATAATTTCTTTTGTACCATATGTTGCTCCTGAAAAAGGTTTTCCATGAAGGGAACAAGGGATAACCTAGAGCATAGAAGGAAGAGAGGATAATCTTTGCCCTTGAGCAGACACAAGTTCCGAACATTACTGGCTTATAGCCAGCTCAAGTGTTGGCATGCACCACAAATAGAGACATCTGTACCTTCAGGTCACATTGCACTGAAGGACCACATGACACCAAGACTTTTTGAACTGGAGACCATCCAACAGGCTAAGCCATCTGAGATGGGGCTTCACGTCTGGACCCTGGTCATGCTTTGCCCTGTTATCTGAGATAAGTCACTTGTTTGTCAGTGTGTGATTATAATGTGTACTCTATAGAATGGGGATTACCAAGATGATTGAATTGAGCCTGAAAAATAAGAGCACCCATAAACCAAGTGTAGAATGAGAGCCCCACTGGCATTTCTGTGCTGGTATTTAGAGATAATCTTAATTATATAATGTTGGCTAATCTGCAAAGATTTTTAAAAACCTGTATCTATAGGAAGTGAGGATTCATGTATGTACTATAGTGGTTTTCAATAAGTACTTTTTAAAAAAACTGTGGAATCCTTTCTTCAAATAATATCTTCAGGAAAGGGCGCCTGGGTGGCTCAGTTGGTTAAGCGACTGCCTTCGGCTCAGGTCATGATCCTGGAGTCCCAGGATCGAGTCCCGCATCAGGCTCCCTGCTTGGCGGGGAGTCTGCTTCTCCCTCTGACCCTCCTCCCTCTCGTGCTCTCTGTCTCTCATTCTCTCTGTCTCAAATAAATAAATAAAATCTTTAAAAAAAAAAAAATATCTTCAGGAAAAACCCAGTATGGAAAATAATTAAGAGGCCCCTCTGATTGATAGAGGGTTGGATAACCCTGACTCCTCTGCTTCTCAGGAACATATATAGGAGTCATCAGTGTTAGAAAACCACTGATAATGTCATTCCTTAGCTAATCCTTAATAGGAAATGTGACTGTAACTTAATGAAGCCAGTTATATAAGGAACATGCACAATTATCCCATTGCTTTACTGCCATGCCCTGTAAACATTATGCTGAACTTCACTGATGAGTGAACATGCTAACATTATAAAATATATTGCACTGAGAAACTTAAACCCCTATCTTTCAAAAATTGGAAAAGGAAATCTGTAATGTCCGCTTTATGCTGTTGTTGTACAATGATGATCTAGATTCGTTTTTTAAAAACTTTTATTAACTTGTGTACAATGAATATTTTTACTGCTTTAATTAAAACACTAACTTTGGAAGAAGAAAAATTGCCCAAGATGCTTGTACACAGTAATATCTCCTATCCTTTTTCAAGCTTACCAAGTTGGAGCTGTTTGCCTTGTAGGCAGTATAATACAATGGAGCCAGCCCAATCTGATTTGCTCAGTCAGCTGTCTCACTTCCTAGCTATATGACTTTATATCTTGAGCCTGTTTTTCTTATCTCTAAGATGGGGTGATATCTACCTCATGGGTTGTGAAGATTATATAAGATTCTATGGCAAAATGTTTTGTAAACTTTAAAACTAATGGTAGTGACTATTGTTGCTCCCACTGCTAAGAGAAAAAGTTCAAGACATAAAAGTTTTCAGATACTATGTGGAAGAAGAATAGAATTTTATTTTTATTGACAATAATTTCACATAAAAAAATTCACTATTCTGTGGGGTGCCTGATAGGCACAGTTGGTTAAGCAGCCAACTCTTTCAGCTCAGGTCATGATCTTGGGGTTGTGAGATCAAGCCCCACGTCGGGCTCCATGCTCAGCACGGAGTCTGTTTTAGATTCTCTCTCCCTCTCCCTCTGCCCCTCCCGCTTGTGCTCTCTCTCTCTTTCTCTCTCTCTCTCAAATAAATAAATCTTTAAAAAAAAAGAAAAACCCATGGGACGCTTGGATGGCTCAGTTGTTAAGCCTCTGCCTTTGGCTCAGGTCATGATCTCAGGGTCCTGGGACAGAGCCTCGCATTGGGCTCCCTGCTCCACGGGAAGCCTGCTTCTCCCTCTCCCACTCCCCCTGCTTGTGTTCCCTCTCTTGCTGTGTCTCTGTCAAATAAATAAATAAAATCTTTAAAAATTAAAAAAATTAAAAAAAAGAAAAACCTTGAAAAAAATTGATTATTCTAACCATTTTAAAGTATATAATTCAGTGGCATTTAGCACATCTGGTGTTGTGCAGGCATTGCCACTATTTAGTTCTAGAACACTTTCATTACCCCAAAAGGAAACCCCATATCCATTAAGCAGTCACTCCTCATTTCCCCCTCCCACCAGGCCCTGGCAACCACTAATCTGTTTCTACGTATTTGCCTATTCTGGATATTCATATAAATGAAATTATATAATATGTAGCCTTTGTCTGGCTTCTTTCACATAGCATGATGTTTTCAGTGTTGCAGTATCAGTACTTTATTCCTTTTTGTGGCTGAATAATACTCTGTTGTATGGATATGCCACATTTTGTTTATCCCTTCATCAGTTGATGGACATTTGGGTTGTTTCCACCCTTGGGCTATTGTGAATAGTGCTGCTATG